AGCCTGAATTTTGCCTGAAACTCTCAGACTGAAGAAGTCTCTTGGAGGAGAGACGAAACGTTTCATTAGAGAAGAACCCGTCCAGAAGACCTACTGTACACATTTTTTTTCTAAAAATGATACTTTTACTCCTTCACTTTTAAAATTTAACACCTACAAAATGAAATATGTCGAAACTCATCATGTTTATAATATAAATTATAAATACGTATTTTGCCTCAATTTACTCTACTTGGTTTAGTGGAACCAGTTTGGTTAAGTAAATTCAACAGTTTATTTCTTAGAGAGTGTAACAGTACTTTCAGTTTTATGACTTTTACTTACCAGTAAGTACTTTTCTTATGAGTGACATTTATTTTACCAAAGTCATTTCCTTTTAAGGCAWTTTTACTTTTACTTATTTATTTTTCCAAGTACTTTAAAGACCTGTTTAATATAGGAGCTGAGTTGGGTTTTTAGTCTGAAGCTCTCAGTTTGTTTTTGAGTTGGTCTCCTTCAGCTCAGCCCTTCTCTCTCTCTCCCTCTCAGCTTTAATGCAACAATAGAAACTTGTTTCCGGGATCTGTGCGTCATGCTCTGTGATTTGAATGACCTACCAGCACAAAAGCCAAGACCCCCCGGCTAAAAAAACCCAAAAAAACAGCAAACTGTGAAATGGCTGATATGACTGTGGTAATGTCATGTTGTCAAGATTGTGCTGTCAGTATAAAGAATTCAGTTTTCCTCCATCGAATCAGACTGCAGCTGCTTCAAATAAAGCTTTTAGTTAACCCAAATGTGTTGCACTCAAAATATGTGACTGGGATGCTCCTCAGCTACCACCACCTCAAATTTTAGTTCAGTATCGGTAAAACGGACCGAGTTACAACCCTTTTTGTGTTCACGTAAGATTGCCTTGCTGCGGCAGCCATCTTGAATCAGGTTGTCTCCAAAAACCATGTTCTGCCATCAACATTTAAAACTTTTAATACGTTCCTTTTAAATATATATTTAACATTTTTGGCAAATATATGCAGGTGACAGTTGTTTTTATTCTTTTAGGTATAAAAGACTTTTCTTTGTTCAAAGCGGTCTTTGACGTGTGAGAATTTGTTGAGTTTAGGTTTCTGTTGGCCAACAGGTAATTGGTGCTCGGTTTCATCGTCGCTTTTCTCCTCCATGATAAAGAGTTTTCAGCCGCTTCGGGCGATTTTATTAATTTTTTTAATCTCTCGAGCTCTCACTTTCAACATGAGCTGATTTTATTTTGAAGGAAAGATGTTTTTTTTTTATCTTTTTTACACTTTTGGCTGCATCGCCTTCAAAAAAACACACAAAAATGGTTAATGAACAAAAAAAGGGAACTGGAAGCAATGAGAAATCTTCCTAAAATGTGGCTGAAAATGGGTTTTATTTCCGGTAAATGCTGGCAGGAGAAGTGACTGGATGCGGGACACATCCTCCTCTGTTTCAGTAACTTTTCCTGTAAATGTATTATTGTTTACAGCTGAGGTTTCATACCCAGGATTTCTTAAGGTCAACATTTCTTCTGGCACACCCGAGCCCGAACCGCACTTTATTCCCCTTTAATTTAACAGCTCCGGCAGCTTTTCTAGTTAAATCGACTGTTCATTATTGAGACCCGTTTTACGAAGGGGCTGTGAGGTGCAGTTTAATGAATCTCTGGCACAAAGCTCCCTTTCAGCGCGGCCCGAAGAATAGAGGCTATTTAGACCCTGTAGGGCTTTATGTCAAAGGCAGCCCATAATAGTTGTCAGGCCGGGGCAGAAATTCCCACTGGCCTGGGAATGCACTCCAAATCAACTTTTGCCATGAGCAGATTAAGACACAGGCACGCAGTTGGGAAGATTCTCCCCAAATACTGGCATCTGTTTGGACACGCAGACTTTCCCACAGCAAAAAAACAAAAACTTTTCTGAACTTTTTCCACAACTAAAAATAGCAGAAACCAAATTTTACAGTAATTATTAAAATGTTTTGTGCCAAGAATAAATTGAACTCATTCATCTTTTTCTTTTATTAGTGGGGTTTATTTATGTTTTGCGGCACTGGCTGAGAAAAAACCCATCAGTCAGGACTTAAAGGGCTTTTCTTCTCGCTGTTACAGTAATATCCTCCGGTTTCATCGAGGTCTTTGGGGTTCAGGGCACACACAAACAGTTAAACCAGAAAGGGAGAGGGTTTTGTCTTCAGCTCAGCGGGTCATTTCAGACAAATCCCTCTTAGATGCAGGTGGTCGGGCACAAGCAAAGAGTTAAGTCCCGTTGTCCCGTTGCTCCTCCTCTTTGATTTTCTGACATCATCAGTCCTGCCCCCCTGAAAGATCTCCTTTCCTCTCCTCAGACCCCTTCACTTTTCCACAGAGGAATGTTTTATGGAAAGCCTCGCAGGCCCCCGCCGACTGTTTGCGTGAAGAACAAAGCCATGCTCTGAAGGACCCTCTGCGTCTGGGACCACGGCGGATGCCACAGGTGTCGCCTCAACAGATATGGCTGTTCAGACCGCAATCATGAACCCCCAGTTCATGAGCTTCTGCTTCCCCGATGCTGTGATGGAGTACGACATGGAGAAAAGCCCGGACGGGGGTCTCCTGTGCGAGGCGGAGAACGACGGCGACTTCAAAGAGACCACGAGAGACCTGCTGAGCTTCATCGACTCGGCCTCCAGCAACATCAAGCTGGCCCTGGACAAGCCGGTGAAGTCCAAACGGAAGGTCAACCACCGGAAGTACCTGCAGAAGCAGATCAAACGCTGCACTGGCATCATAGGGCCCGGGAACGCAGCGGAGGCCCCGGCGAAAAGACAGGGGTCCCCGGGGTCTCAGCCGAGCCCTCTGCAGAGCAAAACCCTTCCCAAGCGGGACGGGCTCCAGGCCAACTTACAGAGCAAGAGCCTGGCGGCGCTGTTCAACCCCGGGAAGGATGTAAAAGGAGAGAAGGCAAAGAAGCCCCCGCTGAGGCACCGCAATCTGCCGCCCTCTTTCTTCACCGAGCCCGCCCACTGCTCCAAAGTCAGCTCCACGTCCGGGATGACCCTGAAGGACCTGGAGCGGGGCAACCCCGAGGCCGCGGACTTCTTTGAGCTCCTGGGACCCGATTACAGCAACATGATGAGCGAGCAGGACCTTTACCAGGGCGCGCCTCTGAGGGCGCAGCCGGACCTGGGAGTCATGGATCCTGGTTCCTACGATGCTCACCATTTAGTCGGTGGTCTCCTTTACTCTGAGCCCTGGACTGGCTGCTCAGGACCCTCTAAAAAACTGGTCACAAGCCCGGCCCCGCCTGCAGGCTACTGTCAGTCTGAGGACGCCTCTGGACCTGTGGACGACAACGGACTGTGCACTTTGGCTTTCTCAAACTTCTTCACAGACTGCTCCATACCTCAAGTTGCTTATGATTTAAACTGTGGATATAACAAAGGAAACTACTCCAGTCTATGAGAAACTGACAGGTGTGTTGTTAGACGTGCAGAAAGAGTTCTAACTTTAACAGTTACAAAGCAACGGGAAAATCTGAAGCAACTTCACAGCGAAGAGTCCGGCTGAGCTCCTACAAAATAAAACTTCAGATTTGTTACAAAATGGGTTTATAACGTCACTCTGCAACACAAAGCATCTAACTTTAGGTTTCTGAGGGCTGTCAATCAAATATGACCTCAGTGTTTTCCTGTTGTCCAGCAGTAAAACACACAAACTGCAGATAAATCCACATCCACAGTTGAGCTGCTGACAAAACAACAGATGCACTTTTCTCCCAACAATCCTGTAAAGCAGCGACAGAAACGGGACAACTAATTTTTTTTGCTAAAATAATTATTTGTATTTGTTTGCCTCACAGATTATTTCTGCTGTTCTGAATTGTATTTCAGCTGGCAGAATGAAGACATCTTTATTGACCTTTAGGGAGAAGAAACTTTATGGTATCTAGCTATGTTGTAATATGACAAAATAAAGCTGGTCTTTATTATTGTGTCTGTTTCTGAGTTGACCGTAGGACATAATGTGTCTGAATGTTGGTGCAGAATAGTTAACAAAAATACCAAAAACACTTCCCCACATTCACCTTGTTCACTTAGAATAAGGTCCAAAAGTGAGAAACAAAAAGCTAACAATCTTGTTGGCCTCTCCTTTTTTCAATACTTTAATTTTTGAATCAGTGCACAAAGATGGAAGAAATGTATGGGATAAATCTTGTGCCAGCAGGAATTGAATTTGAATTGCTCGTATTTAATCTGTATGTGCATAATTTGAAATTGAATGCATTGGTTTGAAAATGAATGTAACTAAATTGAAATTGAAGTTAATGTTTAGAATTTGAATTAATTTGCTTTGAAACTATATTTTGGTTTATTAAAAATTCAGTTTGTATGGAAGCCCATTTCCGCCACCCTGATAAAAAAATAAATAAAACTGGTATCTCATAATTTTGACTTAGCCAAGTCATAATTATGAGATAGTATCTCATAATAATGAGATAGCTAAGTCATAATTATGAGATACAAGTTTTATCGTTTTTATTCAGGGTGGCGGAAATGGGCTTCCATAAGTTTGACTCCTTTCACTTTCAGTTCCATAATTCAAATTTTTGTGTCACATCCTGGTCCTTGAGAAAGCCAGGCAGAGTAATCAAACACAGATCCACAGATTTATGTTTCACTTTTGGTGAAGTTTCACTTCTGTATGTAACAGAGTTGATGCAATCCACTGTAAAAGTGACAAAAACAGTTATTTTATTGCAGTGATTAATTTTACCTATAGAAAATGTTACATTTACATCCCGTCATGGATCAGTCAGCAGCAGCATCTGATCGATATATGATCCATGATGTGATGTAAATGTAACATTTTCTACAGGTAAAATTAATCACTGCAATAAAATAGCTGTTTTTCCCACTTTTATGGTGGATTGCATCAATTCTGCTACATAACATACGGGAAGCTTCGAAGTGAAACATAAATCTGTGGATCTGTGTTTGATTACTCTGCCTGGCTTTCTCAAGGACCAGGATGTGCGACTGACAAATCTGAATTTTGGAACTGAAAGTGAAAGTAGTCAAACTGACTTTTTAATAGACCAAAATACAGTTTTGAAGCAAAATAATTCAGATACAAAACTTTAAATTCAGTTTCAATTTGGTCAAATTTATTTTCAAACCAATGCATTCAATTTCACATTGTGCACATTCAGATTAAATCTGAGCAATTCAAATTCAGTTCCTGCTGGCGCAAGATTTATCCATTAGAAATGTCATACTCGTTCCATCACAGTCCCATCTGGTGGCCTGATGTCTGACTGCAAAGTGCACAATATTACCTCCCCCTGGTGGCCACTGGAGGTTTCCTTATTCTTTTGTAAAATGCAGAAAAATCCTCTACTCCTCTTTTGTAACAAGCTTCAAAACCAAAACCCGGATGAGTTATTGTTTCGGTCACACTAAACTTATTTTGTCTTGAAAATCGATTGGCACCCCCCCGCCCCCACACACACAAACACACAAACACACACTGAGAAAACCTAAAAAATGGTGATTAAAATTATCTTAAAGGGGACATATCATGCAAAATCCATTTTTTTAGCTGTTAAGTACATTTTGTGCAGAAAAGTTGAGTCTCTCCTGGTGCTGCACCCGTTCCGTTTTCTTTATTTTCCGTGATGTTTTCTGAACTATTACGTCAACTTATCTGCGACTGCGACCATATAAGGTGTGGACTTAAAAACTACAGTTTCCTTGTCTTAATTCTCCTCTGGTTGGCTCAGACTCTGGCTTAATTCGGGATGGACAAGTTTTCTGCTGTTGACATCATTTAATTTAATTGTAAATTAAACGTTTCTGCTAGAGTGGGCCGGTCTGAAAGCAGGACGGGGGGCGTGGCTTCACACATCTTAAAGGACCAGTAACCAAACAAGCTGCTTCGAGACACACCAGAAAAGAGTTGAAAGAGGGGCTTGTGGAGTTACAGTAAGAAGGAATTCAAACCAAAGCATTGTAGTTCCACTTTATAAAGACCCAAACTGAATCATTTAAATGTGAAAAAGCAAGAATTTAAAAGCAAGATGTGTCTACTTTAAGTAAAACAGCCACAGAGCAACACATGATCCTCTATTCACTGAGATTTGCTGTAGAGATGTTTATCACTTATGGATTTATGGAATATATGGACTCAGAGGTGCAATAACAAGAAAATTAAGACAACATAGCATTTTTTGTTTCTTTGTCCAAACTAGTATTCCCTGCTCCAACACACCTGATTTAGTGATTAAATTATCACTTAAAGTTCTGTAGAAGTATTTTAATCACTCATTCCTTCAGATCAGGGGTGTTTGATTAAATAAACCATGAAAATATGCATTATAATGGAGTGGGTCCTCAAGGACCTGGATTTAACAGCCCTGGTTTAGAACAGGACTTTTGAATTGTGTGCAATTACTCAGTCAGTCCACTAGATGGCAGTGATGCTCCAGAGCACAGCCAGTCCACCACTCCCATCCAAACATGATGTATGGTATTTTTGATGTGATAGTGTGGTATGGACTGTGTGCTTCCTCATATGTCTCTCCACAAAATAAATATGATTTTAGTAGGCTGGTTGCTAAACATGGTTTTAAATCTGCTTTTTTTGTTTGTTTGTTTGTTTCCAGCTTCGGTTGAAATGGATTCCCAGTCAGCACTGTCAAAAAGGGCACAAAAAATATGCTGCCGTACATATTCATTGAAACACACGCTCTTCTTTGAAGATGATGTTTTCTGCACGACCTCGCTTTTTGCCTCCTGCTAGTTTGGCTCGATTAGCAAATCGGTCACCACTACAATTTGTCACACCCAAGGAGAAGACAAAACCTGTCATGTTGCAGTGCAGCAAACTGTACACGCAGGAGACACATGGATTTTCTGTCCCTGACTTGACACGGGGTTTAAACATTCAGATTAGGTCCTATAATGATGGAAGCGGGAACTGCACCCGGCTGTATGTGGCACAGAGAAGAGATGAAGCAGAGCTGCAATGGGGCGGATCTGAACGTTGAACAAGAAGATCTAATGTAAAATAAAACAACACTCAGACGAAAGAGGATGCATGTTTTACTCACGGCGTGCAGCTTGGAATGAAGTTCACAGCAGAAAATGTGTCCTGTTATGGACCATTCACAGCTTGTTCTTTTGTCTCATTAACACCACTTGGGTGGAAACTGTACAAGATGATATTCACAAGCTTCAACAGTCTCTGCAGCATTATGAGCATCTTGTATCTCTGGGCTCAAAAACAACTTTAACAAATAAAGGCTAAAAGAGGGACATGGTTGAATAAGGATTATGGATTTTAGTGCATTATTGTTATGTTTAAACGTATAGAAACACAACCTGTACCAGCTCCATGCACACCTTCTATGCTTATCTGGTAACTGGGAATAATTTATGTTAATACAATATATGTAAACGCTGAGTCAGCACTCTCTGTCACATTTTTTAATTAATTATTATTATTTATTCATTTCATTTCTTTTAAAAAAATTATGTACAATAAAAAAAAAACACAAATCACAAATAAATTGAAAGGCGAGAGAAAAAAGTTTTCCGGTTTGCCTGTGCGTTTTTCTCAATCAAAATTGTTTTTGCATAATTTAATGGTTCTTGTATCAAAACGTTCAGCTCAGTTGGGAGATGGGTGCTGCCGCTTTTGGTTTTAGAAACTGTTCTACTTTTTTTAATATTTAACTTTATTTTAAAACAACGTTTTCCATAGAAACTCATGATCTGTTTGAAATCTGCTTTGGCTTTATTATATGTTACTTTTAGTTAGCCCACTGCCACTTTGACCTGTTTGGCTATTATTAGCTATTTGCAACTTTAGCTGTTTAGCTCATTTCAGCTACTCTTTTGCTAATTTTAGACTTTAGAGACAGTTGTCCTCACTTTGACCTTTAGCTGTGGTTCGCCAATTTATATTTCTAGATGTAGTTTCCCTAATTTTAGCTTTTTCCTATGGTTTCCCTAATTTTAGCCTTTTCCTGCTAATTTTAGCCTTTACAGACAGCTGTCCTCACTTTGACCTTTAGCTATGGTTAGCTAATTTATAATTCTATATATAGTTTCCCTAATCAGTGTGCATTGCATTGGCAATGCACACTATTGTGATTCGTTTCCCATCCAAGTCATCTCAACTTTGCCATGCTTCTCCTCCTGCATACTTTGTCCTAGAGCTGCCATTGTAATTTATATCTGTAAAGCTCCTGTGCCAAATGATGGCTATGCCTTTTGGTGCCTGTAAAACTTGTAGTTTTTGAAATATTAATGTTTAAACTTTATTCCAAATTCATAAAATGGGAGTCAATGGGGCCTTGTAATGGTCCAATACTGCCTCCAGCTGTACTCAACTTGGTACTGCACCATAGTTTTTATACATTTAATCTCAATAGTTCAGTGTTTACAATACTAATATGATTGTATTTTGATGTTTTACTTTAATATTGTCTTAATACTGCTCTATTGTTGTAATATTATGCATTTTTGTGTCAATAATTGTATTGGCAATGTGGCCTCTTTCTGCACACATACAAACCAACCCCTGCCACCACCTTCTGCCACAGTTCCACTGGTCTAATGGTCTTTGTCATGGACTTTCATGTGGGAGATCAGGGTTTGAAACCCAGCTAATGCTGCTTTAACAAAAAATCTCCTCCAACTTCATATTGTCACACAATTACAAACACCTGCTGACGTGACAGGCACAAGCTGGCATAGAAAACACATTTGAACTTGGTCAAAGTTCATTCTGCAAATCCAATGCTGCAGGCAAAGCCATGCTGCAATGACATGCTACATGGCAATGCACACTTGTTTTTACAACGTAAAAACCTGTGTCTAGTTTTAGCTGTTTAAAGGCTAAAATTAGCAGGAAAGAAAGTTGTACTCACTTTGACATTTAGCTATGGTTATAGCTAATTTTTATTTCTAGTTATGAAATCCCTTA